GAATTCAACCAGGTTTAAACTAAGTACACCATAGGGGCCTGCACACAGCTACAAACTTTGTTTAATATTTAAAAATTAAAAAATACTTGACAACTTATTTATCAATGTTAGTGTTACAAAAGACCAAACGAGGATTGTCAAATGGCATTGATCGTGATGGTCAAGTACCTGTGCGTAGAGTGGTCTCTAAATTTTGTGCACCGACAAAATCAAAAAAGTTTGAAGAATAACTGGAATTTAAACTTGATGAGACTGTGGACAACCGACTCCGGTCAATCAGTGTTGAAAATCCGGAAAATGTTGTAGAATTGTTTCAACTTTGTTGCAAATCCTCAGCAGTGAGCATTTCACGAGGCTCTAGGGTGTTTCCGATCCGATGACTGTGGGCTTGTGGTTGAATTGCGCATCTTTTGACTAAAAGTCGTTGATCGTCAGGGAGAATAACTCGCGTCCAGACAGGGAACAACCAAAGCAGCCATTCAACCTCAAGCAATTCACATCAAATGTTAAAGTTTCGATGAACAATTGAGAGTGACATAGAGGAAACTACTCACAAGGCTGCTGAAAACTCTTCGGCAGCCCACGACCGGTTTCGCCCTTCTTGGTGCTCATCAGGTAGGCGCAGTCCCCGAGTTTCCGTCAACCTTATGATCTATTTGAACCTTTTATGAAAATTATACTGCGATATCTCGAATATCGTGCCAAGTAAAACATGAGGCGACCTGTGTGCAGCACTTTCAGTTGTAGAATATCATAAACGAGAGATTGAGTTGAGTCTCTCTTGAAAACCAAATTGATTTGCAAATGAGTGTGCTTCTTGAAAGTGAGAGTGACCATTTCTCACGTGAAGGGCTTGTGCACTCTGGAAGATATTGTTGTTCCGAGCGCAGTTCTCGTAGTTTCGAGATGTCCTCAAAGGACCATCGAAAAACTTTCTGATTCTTTATTCGCGGGGAATCAGCAAGCCCAAGTAGATGTACCTCCTATACACAAGGTCTTTGGGCTAGACCTGTCGTGGATCTTTCGGTCTTTTGCAACTTCGAAGGAAACAGACAGGTTTATTCTTCGAGAAGTCCTCTTCACTGCACCTGTCTATAGGATATCGTCTGACAGTATCAATCATCGTGAGCACTAAATTCCCTGCCCCAGCTTTTCTGAAGAACTGAATTTATCTGCAAAATTTACACTCCCTTATTTGTAGTTCTGACGTCAGCGGTGGTAAAACGTGGCGCGCCGTGCTCAAAAACATATCATCACGTTTGCACCTGTGGTTGACATTAGGAGGAAAACCGAATTTTTTCTTAATTTTGAAATTGATTCAGGAACACCTAGCTACTATTTGGCAAGCAGGAACTAACTACACAATCTGGTGTTTCTATTCGCAATATTGCGCCATTCCTCAACTGAGAAGGCATACTGCACGTTCCCTGCCTCCTGTGGTTCTTCCCGAAGGTTCCACTCAACTAGCGACAGTGAATGCGTCACAGGACGTCGCCGTGTTTGAGTGTGTCTTAGTCAAGTGACGGCAATTATTTGGATCATTTATGTCGTGTCGAGCCAATGAGTTGTACTCAGAGCCAAACACTGTATTTATATAGTTAGCAAGAAGTGACTTTCGCTTCCGGTTGGTTTCCCAGGTAACCAGTGTTCTTTTATGTTTTCTGGAGGCAGTGACAGAACTTCGTTTTGAAGACCCGAGTTCGAATCCCATCAAGGAGGCATTCAACCTGAATCCCTGTCGTATTCTTGAATACCACGCACCAGTGTTGTTACACCAATAAAGGAACTACTACCACTTTGAGATACTAACTTGTGTTCGGATTGGCTGAACGTCAACCAATCCAAACAAACACTCAATCAGGCATCTAACACCAATATGCAACCATATGCAACCAATCATTAGCGAAGGTTAGTCTTTGCTAGAAATACGCATATAAACATGCAGCAGACAACGGAGCAGCGCGCACTCCCCCGTGATCAATGCACCGAACAGCTTCGAAAGGTGCACTGTCATCTGGGTTGATAATGGAACGTTTCCAGTTTTATTGTTAAATCATCGATCAGGTCCGCAAGCTCTAAGCTACCAGCATTCGGTTCATTAGCAAAATAACCACTGTCATAGGTGCAAATGTGACTTGTACTTCGTACGAACACTACGATCTGCCAGTAAGGTCATGTGATAAGTACAAACATGTTAAGCCAGACAACCTTGATTTTGGAATTACACATCCTGAAAAAAAGAGCAAAGCACGTCCATCGTTCGCACAGCAACGAAGGCTGTTATGCACCTTTCACCTAAGCGTACCGAACCGGTAAAATGTAGAGTAAACTAAGAATTGACTTCCGTCGTGTTCACATTTTTGTGGGAACGTGTAACTCTGATCCAGGTGATTAGGACTAGTGTACAACCTACGTTCGAATCGCCACAGAAACGCGTAAATTGCTTTCATGTAGATGCGAAGTCACAACAGCATCTCTGTGATAGTTGACATCTGATTTCCTGCAAGGACTGTGGTGTAAACGCACACACTGTTGGGGGTCACAAATTCGTAGTTGACCTTCAGCGAAATTCACACTAACAGAGAGCGGTTCAAAACTCGGAACGAACGTGCAACCAAGTGTATAACTGGGGGCTAACTGCATGTTATATCTGCTGATTCGTCAATCTGTGGTATCTGCTGCTCCAGTGCCTAGTTGCCGAAAACAGACTCACCAAAGGGAACACAACCGTTACGTTCGGAAAAAGCGAGTGCTTGCGAGAGCGTGAGTGCTTGCGAGTACGAAAAGCACAACGGTCGCAAGCTATTTATTGGAAGGACACTGAACCTAGTCCAGTGCTGACGCACACGTTTGCCTTTGGTACGATGCTGTGACGCACTGCATATTCAGGGGCGTTGTTTGTCTGGTCAACATCTAGCGGAGCTAAGAGTCTCGGTAGATTTCGGGCATTCACTGGTTGCTTTCAGAAACCTGACCTTCCTGATATCGCCAATGAGAATTTAAGGTTTCTAGCGTGAATCAAATTGAATTTACAATCGGGGAGGGTGGTTGGAGAGAGCGACGGATCCTGATTTCTTCTCACTATTTCTGGTGCAAGTCAGCCCTCGTTAACACTGCTCAAAGTTTTAGAGGTTTTCGCCGTGCAGCGACAGAATTCCGCCTACTAACTGCTTGGTCTTAAACGATAGTTCAGATGATCACCAAACCTCTCGTCTCATGCTTCACCTGCCCAAGATCACAGTCGCTGAACATTTTTCAGAGGAACGAGCTCTCATTTTTCACCAATGGTCGACTGGCGTGCTAAGGATGTTTTCCTGAAGACGGGAACAAATGGCTTTAGTTTTCAAGCCTACCTAATGAGCCCCAAGAAGGGCGAAGCCGGTCGTGGGCTGTCGATGAGTTTTCAGCAACCTTGTGAGTAGTATGCTTTAGTTTCCTTCTGGTGGACATTAGTGACCCGTTGCAAAATACTGAAGAAATGTGTTCTGAACAAGCGTCATAAAGCCGACACCAAAATGCTGGTTCCATTAAATCCAACACCGATTAAGACCGAGATATCAGTTAAAAAACAGACTGGGTTATTTTTAGAACCTCGTAAATATTTAGCCTGTTGGGGCGCATATCCACACATCACTCAATCGATTATTCGTTACCAAAAACATTTGAATAGGTTGAGTTTGAGCGATCGGTCGGCAAACTGGAGTTTTCAAGGTGCGACCTTGAGATTCCGTCCTTGAGGCATGTCATTTGTCCCGGAAAAAACTAGAATATGGCCGAACGATAAGGAAACCAACCCTACTGACTGTCAAAAGCCCGTAGCCTGTTGCCGGGCTACTGCCAATATTACCACTGGTTTGCTGGATGTCATGTCATATCGATTGAAGTCAACCGTCAATCGAATGGCACCAACGAGTTTACGTGCAGTCCTACGCAAGGTATTAAATCAGGATCGAAAGCGAGTAGACGGAAAAGCATTGTTAGTGTAAAAAAAATCGGACACCTTTCGGAAAAACAGTGATTAAACAGAACAAAACGATGATAGGTGAGCTAATTTGTGCGGGACTGTAATGCAATAGACACACGTACGTGTGGATTGGGCGTGTATAAGCGTCACTGGTAAAGCGGATATTCCAGGGTGAGATCTGTCTAATGATGATTAATCTTCGAACAGTAACGATTAAATTTCAGCTGACCGATCGAAACTCGGGAAAAATCGATCATTGGCTGTCGAAGAGTTTTCAGTGAGTAGTGTTCTTCCGAGAAATACCAGTTCGGATATGAGACTACAGACAGACTAAAATACAATATGGTCTAGCTAGAAGTACGTTCTATTCGTTGACGCAAACGAACGTTTTGTTGAAGTATGAAGAAGTCTGCCGAGAAAAAGCGACTTTTTTGAATACCAGTGTATGGATCGCTCAAAGTCGGATATTACGGACGTGCCTTGCTGGTAAGCAATAACTTGTAGTTCATTGGTGTCAGGTTTTTGGTGCTAACAAAGCGTTTTGTGGAAAATGGTTAAACTAAAGATGTTAGTTTTATCCACAGTCTGAGGCTACTCTGACGCCAAGCAATGCAGTACAGGTCTTGCGGGACTTGAAAGATCTTGTGAACGATGTCGCGGGAGAAATGCGGCCATACAGATAGTGAGATACGCTCATCTGGAAATCACTCTGGTGTTAACGAAGAGTGCATCTGAATCTCCTTTAACTGAAAGTTTTGCCCAAATTCCGCTTCACGCTCCAGTTGCTTATTCTGTTGATTGGCGAGCGGGTCTGTCGATAACATCAATGCAATCTGAGAATGAGTGTTGCTCGCCACTTACGCACGATCGGGTAACGTGAGACTCAGCAAGTGTGGAACCGGTAGTTCAGGGTCGAACATTTTCCGGCGAACGTACACATGGTGTGTTTTGTCATCTCAATACTGGTCTTGAGACTCACCAGATAGACGGCATCCTTGAGTTCCCATCAACCACTGTTCCAGTTGAACCTACTTACTTATTTGCGCACCAATATGGTTTTCACGAGAGGAATCCAGCTGAGTTTTTGGTTTGTGGCGTTCTTCTTCAACCAAGTGTTCTGCATTAAACCATTTCATGTTCTAAATGGCAAGGTATTTGTGACATCGCGGCTTAGTTTCTTGAGGAGGATTGCTCATAAGGTTGCCGGACCCACGACCGGTTTTGACATTACTGAGGTTCATTGCATGGGCGTGGTCTCCGAAATCCCGTCAAACTTATATCCTACTTGAATAAACCTTGTGGTCGTTACTGATTGTTTGGGTGAGTTTATTGGTTGTTGATCAGGTAGCAAACATCTCGTGGCTCTACGAGCAGACATCCACAGTGCGCATTGATGCACGCTATTGGTGCAGACCACCACACAACAAAGATCACAAACTGACCAATGAACTCTCAAGAATGCTACTTCCAAATAACCAATAAAATCCGGAGTCTAGCAAGTAACCTACAGATAGAAGCGGAAGCAGCCAAAGGTGAAGTACCCACCGAGCTGCGCACAGACGATGTTTTCTCGTATGCTGAAGAAACGTTTGCATGTCAGTTCTCAAGTCTGTGGTCGTAGGCTTGTGAAGCATCAGTGTCAGCGCTGATGTTACTGTCTCTGATGATGGTAATAAATTTCTACCTCACTGGAGTTTTTGATTCACTGTCTTGAGGTACCTTCTTTGAGGTCAGGTGCCAGCAAAGTTGTCAGTCAAACTAAAGAGTGGTGTATCTTTCCAACAGACAAACATTGTCGAATCCGGTTAGGCTCAAAAATTGAAAAAAATGTTCACTTCGAGATATCCATTGAAACGAAAAACTCATTTGAAAGCCAGTCTGAAATCACTTTTTTATGAATTCCTCCGACTGAATGTGCTGCACAAAAGCGCCTACTCAGGTTTCAGTTAGCGCGATATTCACAATGTTGCTGAACAATTTTGGACAGCCCACGACCGCTTTCGCTCTTCTTGGGGCTCATCAGGTAGGAGAATATCGTTCAGCTGTGGCATCTTTTTGGTGCCACCCGAAGGAGGCACGAGGGTTGGGATATTGCCAGGTTACCCAAATTTAGACAAGGGAGTTCGTGATGCAGAGGAATCGATCGAACCACGGACCTTCCAGTCAGTAAATTCGCGCTGTAAAAAATCGTTCAGCCGTAGCACTCTTCCGGTGCCTAGCTGCCATGCCAACCGAAGGAAGCACGAGGGCTGGGATACTGCCAGGTTGCCCAAGCCGAGAGGCAGAGGCCGGGTTCAAACCACAGACTTCCTGATCAGTAAATTTGCGCCCCAATCACTGAGCCATCGCGTCAAGCTTATGTTCTACTTGAACCCAATTTTGACTGTTTTCGAGAAATACACTCTTTTGTATATCATTTTTTTGTTGTCACGGGAGACACATCTGAGTCCCTCGCTTATCAGGTTCTTCTCGCCGCACAAAGGCCACTTCACGCTTCAGTTAGCGCGATTTTCTGGATATCGAAGCGTATCCTACTAACGAATACAGTACAGCACTGTTGTGTTGTGCGGTGGCCGAGCTATGGGTTACGCCTGCGCTGAGCCTGCCAGACTACGCGATAGGGAGAAGACAGATAACTGGGGACACGGCTGTATTGCCAGGACAAAACGTACGGAGCGTCTGCGTGAATACATAGGATGACTAAACGGCCAAATATGGTCGTTCACTTGTTCGCTTCGTACAGCCAATGGTGGTGTTCCGGTCATGAACACTTTCAGGCCCACTACGCTGGTCGTGTGTTGCAAAGCCGTGTTTCGTGGGCGCCGCCAACTCACCTACTTTCCGGACGTGTCGAGCCGATGGTGACCTTGGGGATGCGTCACTCTCTGCACATGTACTTTTTCTGCTGTCTGGGTTTGCCCTGACAAGTACCAACTGCATTTTACACCGCGAGAATTTGACGCCTTCGGTGAAATTCACAAAGGACCGTAATGCGTGACTGCTACCGACTGATTCGCTAAAATATCATTTCTCAGCCCCCCAGGTTGAAATATATTTATCATTAAATATAAATGATAGCTTTTCTATAAAGGAAACTACTGACAAGGTTGCTGAAAACTTCTCGACAGCCCACGACCGGATTTGCCCTTCTTGGGGCACAGCAGGTAGTCGCGGTCCTCGAGTTTCCGTCAAGTTTGTGTTCTACTTGAGCCCAAATTGGATTGTTTTCGAGAAATACACTCATTTGGAAATCAATTTAGTTTTCACGAGAGACTGAATCTCTCGTTTATGGTATGCGCCTTCCTGATGAGCCCAAAGAAGGGCGAAACCGGTCGTGGGCTGTCGAAGAGTTTTCAGCAACCTTGTGAGTAGTTTCCTTTATGAAAATATACTGCANCATTTGCAAATCAATTGAGTTTTCACGAGAGACTCAGTTGTAGACTTTCAGTTGTAGAATATCATAAACGAGGGATTCAGTTGAGTCTCCCGTGAAAACCAAATTGTTTGCAAATAAGTGTATTTCTCGATGAATGATAATTATTTAGGGTCTTCATCAAAGCAGCCAATTATACCAGTTTCATGGTGAAAAATTTCCCTCTGGATAGTATTAGACTAATAACTTTTTTGAATTGATTTTTTGGTGTACTCATGTTGAGAGAACCGAAATATGACGTATTTGAACAACCGATGCACTCAGATCGTATTGAATTCACCTGTATTCTTGTCCTCCTGTGACATAAAAATTATCTGATTACACCTTTTTTAACCCCCCTTCACTTACTACTTGATAGCATCTGATCAGTAAAACTATAGGGAATCAACCCCACGTAAACACATAGACACATGGACAAAACTCCACTCTCGAAAACAGACAAACCTCTGTCAGACAAGTACATTTCTAAACCTTTCACCCTGGCAAAACGATTTTATCGGTAGAAACTTCTGAAATACCACCGGTCTATTTTTAACGACCTTTTGCTCGAAAACGTTACGTGCGCGCACGGATCTTAGAGTTATAGCACTTTTTCTACGAAGCATTTAAAACAAATTTTCTAGCATCAGTTGCCACTGTGTTTAAAAATGTCACAAAAGTTAGTCTCCGTATTTTTTTCGAAAACAAACCACTGAGCACCATAACTGACGGTGATAATTAAAGGTTCACAAAGATGCGGAGAAAAATTTCACTAAACCAGGATAACAAGCATAGGTGCCCTGTGAAGAGACTTTTAACAGTTTTCTAAGTAACTTTTTTGTACCAAGGAATACATGGGTTTAGTTACCAAGACCAGAGATCACTTCAGTATCGACCAGAATATTGAGGCAGATGATGCCAAGCTCAGAGTTCACGTGGGCATCGACGAATCAGGACAATCGATTTTTGCCTGGGCTTGACCAACGTTAGTGTCTTTCTTGTAGAGTAATTCACCAGAGGACTTCAGTTCAATTCATCTAGCGTTGAACTCATCGAACGCAATTCACTGGCATAAAATATCTTGTGTCGCGAACTTTTGCAGAGCGGGGCAGCTAATACTGTATACCTTTCAGTTACGGATACACGCATTAATGCGGGCTGCTGCTGATGAACAGAAAGGTGAACAGGACATAAAAAACCCGTGTGGACCGGAAAGAGACTCATACGGATCAAATGCCGAACTACAACAGCAGTCATCCAGCAAACCACAAGAAGAGCTGCGTTTAGACCCTGTTCAAATGGGCCGAGACATACTGCGACACCAAAGAACTACGGAAAAAAGAAGATAACCATGCATTCAGGATATTCAGTAATGATGGGTTTCAAAGGAATTTTATCGGGAGAATGTTGAAGAACACGAGATTCCAAAAACAGAAATGGCAAGAACAAGCAAACCAATTTTAAATTACATCGTGAGTTACACTCAGGCAGGTTATTGGCTCAGAAAGGAAACCTCGTAGCCCACAACCAAGAACACTTCGCGTAGACTAATCGAAAGACGTCCAAGACGAATCCAAGAGGAACAAAGTGATGAGGCAAATCAACCTCAACAACTGCATTAAATTCTATCTTGGACAAGCTAGGAGAGAACTGCGCACTGAAAAAATGAAAATAGCGTGGCCGACAGGAGACATCAACCCTTATCCTCGACATCCAAAATAAAACGGTGGCAAAGTTAATCAAGAAAATGCAAAAATTCTAGCATTGGGGGAACCGAGACAAACAAGAGAATTCCTGGAAGCGTTGTACTCCACAATGGATTTGATCACCGGCGTAATGAACGAGATCCAATTCGCGCACTACTAGTGAATAGAAGAAGGCCTTCACTGCGGAGTTATTTATTAGGAAATGCCGAATAAACAAATACAGACTATTGGACAGGGGAGCGAAACCCTCATATGCATCTTGTTTACAAAACTGAATATCCATCTTCTCCGTGAACGCGTCTTCCTGAACTTTCCTGGATATGCATTGACTGTTACTCAGTTGCAAACAAATGCTACAGAGAGACCACAAATTTCAAAAGACGCAAAGCGGATTCACTAAAAAACATAATACTCGCATGTTTTCTCATCAGTAGTATCACCGGTACACTAGGTTCAAAGAACCAAAAATCTCAGCCGAAGTACTCAGAGAGCCACCTATAGGAATGATAAACCAGGCAATCAAAAACTTTCTGGGGTCAGACCCACAAAGGTCATAGAATGGAACCCAGAGAGGTCGAGAATAGGAGTCACCACCTACCAGAGTACGAGAGGAGAGCTCAAAGGTGATGTGGTCACCAACAGCAAGTTGACGGACTAACTGATGGAACCGTCCAATCAAACAACCAATCGTGCTCGAAGGTCATCTCTGGATAGCAACACGTTTATAATGACACACGCAACAATACTCAAACCACAACCACAGGTCCGTCGCTACGCACTGATGACGTCAGTCCGGTGATGAAACGAGCTACCAACGTCTCCCTCAATAGCAAGAATGACCTTTAAGTATGACCCGTAGAGCCGGTCCTTAGTTGTCTGTCAATCGTTACGGCACGTAGTAGCTGCGCGTGAATCGACATGTGGTCTATGTAACACGACGGCAAATTCCTGAAAGTTGTCTTAATATCCATTTACCTGGGTGACCTACTGACGTCATGCTATAAGTAGTACAAGACGT